AATACTGTAGGGAAAACAAATTTAAATAAGAATGTAAAAAGGATTTATGATGAGGCAATCAAGATGATCAATGAAAAGAAGCTTTATACTGATGTGGTTATTTGCAGAAACATGAGAAAAATGTTTATATTTAATTGTCATTTATTTAAATAAGAACTGTATTAATTTAAGATTGGCTAAAGAGAATACTATTGGAAGAAGAGGAAATCAAGTAAAGTTATTATATGGACTATAGAATTATAGAAATTAATTGTTATTGTTTTTTAAACACTAACCCAGACAACACGATGTTTACCAAATATTAAGGTGTATGTTAAAAATCAATAAAACATATTTTAAAAAAAATTCTGCTGCACTGAAGGTTCCTAAGAGCACAGTGGCCTCCATAATTCTCAAATGGAATAAGTTTGGCACAACCAGGACTCTTCCAAGAGCTGGTCACCCGGTCAAACTGAGCAATCGGGGAGAAGGGCCTTAGTAAGAGAGGTGACCAAGAACCCGATGGTCACTCTGACTGAGCGCCAGAGATCCTGTGTGGAGATGGGACAGAGTTCCAGAAGGACAACCATCACTGCAGCCCTCCACTGATCTGGGCTTTATGGCAGAGTGGCTAGACGGAAGCCTCTCCTCAGTGCAAAACAAATGAAACCCCACTTGGAGTTTGCAAAAAAGCACCTGAAGGACTCTCAGACTGTGAGGAAGAAGATTCTCTGGTCTGATGAAACCAAGATTAAACTGTTTGGCCTCAATTCTAAATGTTATGTCTGGAGGAAACCAGGCACTGCTCATCACCTGCCCAATATCCCAACAGTGAAGCATGGTGGTTGGAGCATCATGCTGTGGGGGTGTTTTTCAGCAGCAGGGACTGGGAGACTGGTCAGGGTTGAGGGAAAGCTGAATGGAGCAAAGTACAGGGATATCCTCAATGAAAACCTGTTCCGCAACAGTCATGACCTCAGACTGGGCCGAATGTTCACTTTCCAACATGACACCAACCCTAAGCAGACAGCCAAGACAACACAGGAGTGGCTTAGGGACAACTCTGTGAATGTCCTAGAGTGGCCCAGCCAGAGCCCTGACTTGAACCTTATTGAACATCTCTGGAGGGACCTGAAATGTCTGTCCACCAACGGTCGCCATCCAACCTGACTGAGCTTGAGAGGATTTGCAAGGAACAATGGCAGAAAATCCACCAGTCCAGGCGTGCAAAGCTTGTCGCGTCATACCCAAACAGACCTCGAGGCTGCAATTGCTGCTAAAGGTGCTTCAACTAAGTACTGAGTGAAGGATCTGAATACTTATGCCAATGTGATATTTCAATTTTTTTCTTTTTAATAAATTTACAGACATTTCTAAAATTCTGTTTTCACTTTGTCATTATGGGGTACTAAGTGTAGATTAATGAGAAAAAATGAATTTCAACAGCTGTAAAATCAGGCTGCAGCATAACAAAATTGACAAAAGTGAAGGGGGTCTGAATACTTTATGAATACATTGTATGTTGATTGGTAAGCAGAAAAATAGCTTTCAAATCAGCTCTACAGACTGATAGTGGGGGAGGGAAGAATATGAGAGAAAACAGTTTCAGCAAATACTCCAGTATTTTCAACAGTTTAATTTCTTTTTTTTAATAGTATTTTATTAATTTTCTATTATTACAATTCATTAGTGCTTAATGAACGTGTTGTCTGGGTTGATTTGTTTTGCTTAGTAATACAAGTTAGGTTCTTATTCTCTATCCCGTTTTTCTAGCCATTGATAAAATAAGTTCCATGTTTGAAAATATTAAACCTAAACTTTTTTTATTAGGTATAATTCCAGAAAAATTTGATAAACAAAGTGTATATTTAACATTACATGTACTAACAGCAGCGAGGATTGTATTTCCTCAGCACTGGAAAAATGAAAAAACACCATTGGAGGAAGAGACAATCAAGAAAATACTGGACTGTGCTGAAATGGATGTTTCCGTAACATCTTTTCTAACCAAGTATGTATTTTTGTCCAAAATTTTTTGCTTTAACACACGTCCACCACAGGTGATAATATGTACCAGGATTTTGATTACATTTCCAACATTTACTAGACATATTTTTAAACATTTTTGCTAACCTAACAGGTGGTAAATGCCATCTATAAAACATTTTATATAAGTTTTCTTTATACGAAGTTGCCATGGTCAATTTATAGTTTCTTTCCCAAAGATTTTGCCATTTCTCTAATTCTGTATTGTATCCAAAAAATTTCACCCATATTATCATTGTTTCTTTCACTTGTTCATCTTCCATTTTCAAGTTCAATAAAAAGTTATACAATTTCTTAATCAGTTTTGCATCAGAAGTCAACAACACCTGATCAAACATTGTCTGGTCTTTATAAAAACCATATATTTTAACATCTTTATCATACCTCGATTGCATTTGCAGTTGAGGCCACCATGATAAGTCAATACCTTGATCTTCTAACTCTTGTTTCAATTTTAATTTCCCATCTGTGTTCAGAATATCCTTATATGTTAGAATATCCTTATATGTTAGACTTTTCTCAAGTTTGACTAAGTTTGGGTGAACAAATGCTTCCATCATTGATAGCCATCCTGGGATTTTCATACAGATTTTTGGTTTTATCTTTTCCCATAGAAATAATAATGTGTTTCTTATGTAGTGGTTTTGGAAATATCTATGGGTTTTATTCTTTTCATACCATAAAAATGCGTGCCATGCAAGTTGCAAGTCATGTCCTTCTAAATATAACAACCTTTTGTTTCTAAGGGTTATCCATTCTTTTAACCATGTTAGAGCACATGCTTGCTAGTATAAGACCCAATCTGGTAGTCAAAATCCTCCGTTTTCTTTAGCTTCTTGTAGCATTTTCAGTTTAATTCTGGCTTCCTTCCTTGCCAAATAAATGTCGAGATCAGTGTATTCAGATCATCAAAAAACCTTTTCTCTATGTTTATAGGTACTGTTTGAAATAAAAAGAAGAATTTTGGTAAAATATTCATTTTCACAGTAGTTATTCTTCCTAGCACTGATAGTTGTAGGGTTTTCCATTTTTCCAAATCTGATTTTGTTTGATTTAGTAATTTTATATAATTATCTTCTTTTAGCATTGCACATCTTGCTGTTAAGTACATTCCCAAATATTTAACTTTCTTAACTATTTTTAAGTCTATTTTTTCTGACAGTTGTTTTTTTTTGCTTATCTGTAAGGTTTTTGACTATTAACTTTGGTTTTTTCTCTGTTTATTTTCAATCCTGCTATTTCTCCAAATTCTTCTATCCTTTTCAATAGTTTAAGAGTTGTCTCCAGCGGTTCTTCTAAAATGAATACCAGGTCATCTGCAAATGCTTGTGATTTATAGCTTTCATCTTTTATCTCCATTCCTTTAATAATAATAATAATAATAATAATAATAATAATAATAATAATAATAATAATAATAATAATAATAATAATAATAGTAATAATAATAATAATAAAGTTGGAAGGGACCTTGGAGGTCAGCTAGTCCAACCCCCTGCTCAGGCAGGAAACCCTATACCATTTCGGACAAATGGCTGTCCAGTCTCTTCTTAAAAACTTTCAGTGTTGGAGCATTCACAGCTTCTGGAGGCAGGTTGTTCCACTGGTTAATTGTTCTAACTGTCAGGAAGTTTCTCCTTAGTTCTAGGTTGCTTCGCTCTTTGGTTAGTTTCCATCCATTGCTTCTTGTCCTGCCTTCAGGTGCTTTGAAGAATAGCTTGACTCCCTCTTCTTTGTGGCAGCCCCTGAGATATTGGAACACTGCTATCATGTCACCCCTCATCCTTCTCTTCATTAGACTAAATTTAATTTCCGGATCTTGTCTGATATTTCTGTTGAGAACTTCCAAAGTTAATATAAATAAGTGTAGATTAATAAGAAAAATATGAATTTCAACAGCTATAAAATCAGGCTGCAGCATAACAAAATTGACAAAAGTGAAGGGGGTCTGAATACTTTAAGAATACATTGTATGTTGATTGGTAAGCAGAAAAATAGCTTTCAAATCAGCTCTACAGACTAATGAAATGTGTTTTAAAAGAATGACTTAAACTTATAAAACTACAAAATCACTGATTCTAGAGGGGAGGAAGGAAGGCATTTATTCCTAAGTCAGGCATATTTTAATAAAAAATATAAAATGTATAAAAATAAAATACTAGAACAGCTGAACTTTAAATGGGCTTCAACAGAGTTGCTTTAATTGATGGCAGGTGTGTACTGAGTGCTATTTAACATCAGTTTGAATGTGATTGGTTAATTTTGTGTATTGCTTGACAAGAACAGTCAAAATGCTCTAATGCTGAGAATGGGTGCTGGCAATGCAACTGTCCTGGGGCAGCTCTGGTGCAAAGGTTGGTTGTATGCTCTGTTACCATACCTTTTGGGGCAAATATACAATTTTCTCAAGGCAATTCTATTCACTATGATCATACTCCAAAGATGGTGAGTTTATGGGATGTTCCTGCTGGTTAAACAACAATGATCAGATCCTACTGCTATAATACTATGGCTAGTAGGAAAACAAATCGCAGTGCAAAATTATAAAAATGCAAAATTAGTATTTTGCAACTGAAACAGGAAGTAGTAAAATTTGCAGCAAAAGGAAAAAAATATACAATCAAATTAACAAGCAGAAATCTTTCTAGAGATTTAGCATGAAAACTTATACATCTTATAAGTAAAAGCCTGCTGGTACAAGGTGGCTTCCAAAATTATAATTCTACTTCAAATCCAAAGTCTAATAAAGCCTATTTTATATATTGATTGAATATTGTTTGTGCTTGTGCTGTGCAGTGTTTTCAATTTAATTCCCCAAAGCTGTATGTTCCTAGGAAAATATGCAGCCACTTTCAAGAGTTACAGAGAATGCCACATTTCATGTCTCACACATTTCAAAGTACAGAACGGAATCTGAATTGCTACACATTCATAATGCTTGTGTTTTGAAAATATTTTTGACATAACAATGAAAAGTGGCCAAAAGTATTCTAGAGCACTTCTCAAGGACAAAATTGTAGATCTTTATTTTTATCTGTATACAGGGATGCCATTGCATTGAACCAAAATAGCTCAAAAAAGAAGCCTTAACTATTATAATAGGAGAGATGCAAATTCAGCCATGTAGGAATGAAGAAAGTCCCATGGCACTTGACCCATTTTGCTAGTTCCCTTTACCCATTCTATCTAGAACACATATCTGAAATAAGCAACATTAATCTTTAGAACAGAGAGCACAGAAATACACTCATCTCAAGTAGGATTCATAAATATCATCCAAATACTGTAAATTTATTGGAAAAAATGCTTTTTGCAGAATTGGATTACAATTGATTTACCAGGAGTGATTTTTTCCTTTCAATTTGGAAAAGCAGATTTTACAGGGCACACTGTTGGCCTGTGGCATTCTATACAGAACTGCAATTTTGCAACATGACATGAAATGTATAAAACCAATCAAGATAGTAGATGATGGTAAACTGTTAAATATTATTTTTATAGTTAGCTCTACTGCTTATAAAAGGAGAAGGAACAAATAAGTGTTATCACAACATTTTAAAAATACTTTTTTTCAGAAAAAAAGGTGTTAAAGAGGTTTTCAGTCAAATACGAATAGATACCAAAAAGTCAACTATCATCAGCTTCAGGGAATGCAGAGCTTTCCATTTCATCCAAGATATTACCCCTTTCTAAATTAGATTTAAAGCCTAATTTTCAAAAATAGAACAATACCCTAGGAATCGGCATGATGGTTGTTGAGTGAGAAAATTAAACTTAGGGAAATTTAGACTCCAGGCAATCTCTGTGCCTTCTCCTTAAAGTGCTAAGTGGATCCTTAAATGGGGCTGTACTTTATCCAAAGTTAATTACCACAATTCCCTTTTTTCAAACTAGTTTGCCACAACTCAGTGCCATTGGAGACTGAGAGAAACACAACTACCAACTTGCTTAACATTCAACATTTCTTTTCCATTTATCTGTGGAACATGAAGTCAAACCTGAAAGACATAATCCTCTATAATCAGTACTATCTGTCCTTAACACAACTTGAATGTATGCATATACTCCATGATAAACATTTTTTCAGTCAACATGACAATGGCTTTCGCACCAGTTTGCCTAATTCAGGTTTAAGTTTTATAAATCCAACTAAACTGCACCAAATTTGCAGTTTTCTTAACACCTACCAAACTTAAGAAAAAAACAAGCATCATCAAATCAGTCCCAAATTAACTCATACCTTATACACGTCTCTATAATAAACTAGGTTCTAAGGTATGTCCATGATAAGGTAGCATAAACTATGTTTGAAAATACCATACTTAGTTGAGACTGTCCCTCATACATAATTTTCCCTCTATCTGAGAGAATATACTTTCTGAAATGCTTCATGCTTCAGTGCAACAGAACTGAAAACTGTGGGCATACAGTAGTCCAATGTCCTTATCTAATCACCCTCAAGTGACATGGAAAGAAGATATGTGTCACAGTAAAAATCCCCCTCCACTTAATAAATAATATAAAGTTCTGAAATTATCTCCACTTCTGAGACAGCTTTACAAGAGGCTTCTTGGGGCTTCTTCCCTTACACTTCAAAGCACCTTTTTAGAGCAGTACAGATGTAAGAATAATTTTTACTATAGAAGCTATCTGCATCTTTTTTTTCTTAAAGAATCACATTTGAATGATTATAAAAATTATCTATTGTAACAACATAGGTCCAGCTACACTGAAAAAAACCTTACATTGCTTATTTGAAATACATTTCATTTTAGAAACAGGCAACTAAATAGGTCTATACAAAAACTCTAAAATAATTTTTATATTAAAGAGTGTGTTAGAACAACTGAGATTAAATTTTGTTTACTGTTGATTTTGCTATAATGCTAGATATTCTGCAATCATGTGCCTGGCTCACTCCATAACAAGCACACACACCCACACTCACACAAACGTGCACACGTGTATGCTCACACACACATACAGAGCTGAAAAGAAATACACAGTGATCATTAATGCTCTGGGATTTAGTTTCACAGTCTTATTAATACAAAGGAAACCAGACCCCACAATCTGAGGAGAAAATCCAGGACAGAAAAGCAAGCATACCTCATTAGCTCATATGAAATTATATAAAAAATCCACTTCTCGGTCCTTTTGAAATTTATAAAAGTTGAAATTTATAAAAGCCAACAGTAAAACATGCAAGCCAAATTGGGCATCTGTTCTATTGTCTCCCCTAGGTTGGATGATCACTTTGCCGAGCAACCACGTTTAATACAAATTCACTTGGGGTCACAATGGTACCTTTTCTTAGGGGGCAGCACAATTCCAGGTTAAGACCAGGAGAATGGCAGGCAGAAGACAAAGCAGTTAGTGGTGTTGCACTGAACTGTTCTTTTCTGCTAGGTGTTGCAGAAAACTGTCCTCACCTTGGCCCCTATGATTTAAATGCTCACTCTTAAATAGAGCAGGAGGTGGAGGCAAATGAAGGACTGGGGGGACAGGGACTGTAAGATGGTGTGGATGGTGTGAATGAAGATGTAGATGAGAATACGGATGGCCAATGGGGCGAGGAGGAAGTGTGTTTGCTGGATTCATACTGATTGCCGGAGTAGGGGCAAGTACATTCGGTGTGTTCACAACAGAAGGTACAGTGGTGGCAGAAGATGTTGTGGCAAGTGAGATCTGGGCAGAAGGTGGCACGTTAACAGGACTAGTAACACGGAAGCACTTCTCCTTGTGTGCCTTAAGCATATTGGAGAAACGGAATCGCTGGCCACACACATCACACGGATATGGCTTCTCCCCTGTGTGAGTTCTGCGGTGTCTCTTCATGTTCGGGCGACTGGTGAAACTTTTGCCACAGATTTCACAAATAAAAGGCTTCTCTCCTGTTAAAAATTATAAAATCGCACCTTTAATCAAATTCAATTTTCATTAATATAATTTTGAATGCAAATCCTACATTCAAGAAGTTGTCAGAGACTCATCTATGTCGCTGATCTACAATTTCCAGAATTGTCCATAGTTGGTCATTCTGGCTAAGGTTCATACTTCAGCTCAAAGATGTCTCAAGTTCGCACTCCAACACATTATCTTGGTTTATACTCAATAATCGTTAGTACTTCTCAACTTCTGGTCCTACATGTTATACCCTTCATTTTCCTCACCCTTTAATATGAAACTGGAGACATCCATACAATTTATTCCAATTCCTCCTTTGTTATATACTTTTAAATCATTTTCCCATTTCCAATCTTGATATTACAACACCAATAACCCTCCCATTATTTTTTATTCATTCTCTCATAGTTTCCTTTCTCTTTGGCATAAAGTCCTTTTATGCATAAAGTACCTTCTCTACTGTATTTAAGTGTTTAACTATATTCTGAATTCCCCCTCCCCGACAAGCTTTAATTCACTGTATATCCAACTCTTCAACCACATTGCCTGATAGTAGTTTATCAGGGTTTCCTCATAGACTTCACCAGACCTGCTGGAAGTTGATACAGTGCATGCCCTTATGCCCTGGTCATTTCTAGCTCCAATGTTCCATTTTCTTAACCTCCCATTCCCTTTTTACTTCATTTGCCCTCCACTCCTTTACATCATACTCACACATCTCTATCAACACCGCTTCCCAAATCCCTTCAGTGCTTTTCCACTTCTTTCTGCATCTAGTACAACCCCTTTTGCATTTTGTTCTCTGTCTTAATCTTGTCCTTCATAACTGAGGCTCTCTCATGCATTATGTCAAAAGCTTTCTTCTTCAGAAGACACTGTGCAATCCTTAAATTAATTCTCCTTCTTTTGCTTTCCACTGTTGAAATTCAGATGACACAAGAACCTCCTTTGTTTATTTTAATTATACTGAAAACAGTATTATGTTTAGATTTTAAAGGAAAGAAAGGGCTTATGTGCTGATAAATTAAATCTGTTAACTCTCCTATGAGCTACATATCACATCAGTTAAGTCTAGTATACAGAAAACAATAAAAATGTATCCTTACCAGTGTGGGTTTTCATGTGCTCATCAAAGTACTGTTTCATATTGAAATCTTTACCACACCACTGGCACATAAACTGTTTGTGTCCAATGTGGATGCTCATGTGGGAACGAAGTTGGTACTTGTACTGAAACCTTTCATCACAGTTCTGCAACACATAATGAGGAACCAGTTATGATACAGTAGCAGTATATCAAACAGAATAGAGTTAACTTTATATAAATTTATCTGACAATGTATTTTACCACCAAAAACTTCACCGCTAAATTTGGATCATACCAATACACAATAAAACAATTAGAATTTTAAAAAATTGCAATAGAATCCTATTCAGGATGAGTTGATTCTGGTAAAAGTATAGTTTCAAAGTGAGACAAATTTTAGGTAAATACAGGTAGTCCTCGATTTACGACAATTGAGCCCAAAATTTTTGTTGTTAAGTGAGATATTTGTTAAGTGAGTTTTGCCCCATTTTATGACCTTTCTTGCCTCAGTTTTTAAATGAATCACTGCAGTTGATTAGTAACCCGGTTCTTAAATGAATCTGGCTTCCCCATTGACTTTGCTTGTCAGAAGGTCACAAAAGGTGATCACATGACCTTGGGACACAGCAACGGTCATAAATATGAACCAATTGCCAAGCATCTGAATTTTGATCACATGATCATGGGGATGCTGCAAAGGTCGTAACTGTGAAAAATGGTCATAAGTCACTTTTTTCAGTGCCGTTGTAACTTTCAACAGTCACTAAATGAACTTTTGTAAGTCAAGGACTACCTGTACTAGAAAACCCGTGAACCATTGGGTCATTGTTTCAGAGCTATTTCCTTTTTTTTAATAACAAATTTTATTAGTTTTCCAATTTAACATCCAAGTATTTAGAAAGCAATGTGGTGACTGGGTAATCAATAGTTCAGGAACAAAATTTTTAGTACATATCTCAGATTACATTAACAAAAAATCTTCTATTTCCCTTAACATTTGATATAACATACTTAAACTAGTAAATTTCTAACCATAACAAGTTCAATTAAAGCATTTGTCAATCTATTTTTTGCTTATACATATCCATATCTTGTTTTTAAGTTTTACCTAATTCTTAATTTTTAATTACAGTATTCCAATTTTAACCTTTAACATCCGTAATATTCAAATTTCGGGTAACCCAAATTTCCTTTATTTCACTACACAAAAGTTATGATATCTAAAATACACATGTTACTTACTTAAATATATTATTTTATTTCCTAAACATTTTTTATTTCTCATCCTAGTACATCACAGCTTACTAGTAGAGTAACCTTTATTGTCTCAAATCCATCATCTATATTTTCTGGGCTAAGCAATAGTTCAAGGCTGATTCCTAATATTTAATTTCCATTTCCCTTATAAATCTAAACCCTAATTATTAAGCCAAAGAGAGAGAGAGAGAGAGAGGGAAAGACAGGGAGAGAGAGAGAAAAAAAGAGAGAGGGGGGAGAGGAAAGAGAGAGAGAGAGGGAGAGAGAAAGGGAGAGAGAAAAAGAGAGAGGAGAGAAAGAGAGGGAGAGGAAAGAGAGAGAGGGAAAGAGAGAGAGAGGGGGAGAGAGAGGAAAGAGAGAGGGAAAGAGAGAGGGGGGAGAGGAAAGAGAGAGAGAGAGGGAAAGAGAGGGAGAGGAAAGAGAGAGGGGGAGAGAGGAAAGAGAAAGAGAGAGGGAGAGGAAAGAGAGAAAGAGAGAGGAAGAGGAAAGAGAGAGAAAGAGAGGGAGAGAGAGAGGAAAGAGAGGGAGAGGAAAGAGGGAAAGAGAAAGAGAAAGAAAGAGAGGGAGAGGAGGGAGAGAGGAAAGAGAGAGGGAAAGAGAGAGAGAGGGGGAGAGGAAAGAGAAAGAGAGGGAGAGAGAGGGAGAGGAAAGAGAGAAAGAGAGAGGGAGAGAGGAAAGAGAGAGAGGGAGAGGAAAGAAAGAGAGGGAGAGGAAAGAGAGAGAGAGAGAGAGGAAAGAGAGAGGGAGAGGAAAGAGAGAGGAAAGAGAGAGAGGGAGAGGAAAGAGAGAGAGGAAAGAGAGAAAGAGGGAGAGGAAAGAAAGAGAGAGGGAGAGGAGGAGGAGGAGGAGAGAGAGAGAACTCATGCACAGCAGCCTCTATTTCTTTTTAATTAAACTCTTCAATTAAGCTCCGCATCCCCTGTGTGTGTGCGTGCACATGCGTGTGCAAGTTTTGCGGCTCCCAATGTTTTCTTTTCTCTGAGAAACGGGTCCAAGTGGCTCTTTGAATGTTTAAGGTTGCCTACCCCTGGGCTAGTCTAAAGAAAAGAATAGGGGAGACATGATAGCAGTATTCCAGTATCTGAGGGGCTGCCATAACGCAGAGGGGGTCAGGTTGTTCACGAAAGCACCAGAGGGAAGGACGAGAAACAATGGTTGGAAACTGATCAAAGAGAGAAGCAACCTGGAATTAAGGAGAAACTTCCTGACAGTGAGGACAATCAACCAGTGGAACAGCTTACCTCAAGAAATCGTGGGCGCTCCATCACTGGAAATTTTCAAGAAGAGACTGGACAATTACCTGTTTGGGATGGTATAGGTTCTCCTGCTTGAGCAAGGGGCTGGACTAGAAGACCTCCAAGGTCCCTTCCAGCTCTATTCTATTCTATTCTATTCTATTCTATTCTATTCTATTCTATTCTATTCTATTCTATTCTATTCTATTCTATTCTATTCTATTCTAGAAATGCATTACTATTAACATGGGGAAAAATAAAATGTAAAATATATTTGAAAATACCAGGATGGCTTTCAACAATGGAAGCATTTATACATCCAAATTTAGTTAACTTTGAGAAAATATGGACATATAGAGATATTCTAAATTCTGAAGGGAATTTAACATCTAAGCAAGAGATGGAAAATCAGGGTGTAGATCTATCATGGTGGACATACTTATTAATGCAAGTTAGATATGATAAAGATGTTAAACTGTATGGATTTTATAAAGAGCAGACCTTGTTTGATCAGACATTATTAACCTCTGATGAGAAACTAATTACGAAAATCTATAAATTTTTATTGAATTTGAAAATGGAAGATGAACAAGTTAAAGAAACAATGATAATATGGGCAAAGAACTTTGGATACAACATAGAATTAGAAAAATGGCAAAACCTGTGGGAAAGAAATTATAAACTGACAATGGCAGCTTCTTATAAAGAAAATTTATAGAAAATGTTTTATAGATTGCACTTGCCACCAGCAAGATTGGCAAAAATGTTTAAAAATATGTCAGATAGATGTTGGAAATGTAAACACAAGTCAGGTACTTATTATTATGTATGGTGGACATGTGTTAAAGCAAAGAGGTACTGGAAAAAAATACATACTTGGCTAGAAAAGATGTTGAGAAAACATGTAGATTTTAAACCTGAACTTTTTTATTAGGTATTATGCCAGAAAAGATTGATAAACAAAGTATATATTTGATTTTACATGTGATAACAGTGGCAAAAATCATATTTGCACAATATTGGAAAAAGGAAGAAATACCATCAGAGGAAGAAATAATTAAAAAAATACTACAATGTGCGGAAATGGACAGACTAACTATGAGGTTGAAAGAAAAAGAAGAAACAGAATACTATCAGACTTGGGACTTGTTTTATCAATGGCTGGAGAAAAGAATAAAGGATTAGGAATTAAATTTGTATTAGTGAATGGTAAACTCAGACAACACGTTGTTGAATAAGTACTATTGAATTGTATGGAAAAAAATTAATAAAAATTTTCCAGAAAAAAAGAAAGAAAATGTTTGGACATTAGAAAAAAACTGCCTTTGCTGTTTTACTGAAGTTTAAATTTTTATTATTTGAAAGTGTTGTGATTGTATATGGTCTAAATGTTGACATTCAAAGCCAGCCAACTTCATGCCAGATGGTCAATCCACACTGACAAGTGTCACACACAATCAAATTTCCCCAGCCTATTTCTCTGCTAGAAAGGGTTTTTTGTTTTCTTTAAAAGAACTAAGTGGAGGTGAATCGCCTGAACTGCAAGATGGGCAGCAAATAATTTTGACAAATAAGTTGAACTGGGGAGAAAAACTGAACAAGAGTGGGGAGTTCCCCTTTTCCTTAGCAGTCTGACTAAAGCAGACATGTCAAACTCGCGATGTATCGGAACTTTTCCCCCATTGCCGGCAATGGGGTGGGCATGGTTTCCTCGTGATGCGTCTGGCCCGTAGGCCGGCAGTTTAACACCCCTGGACTAAAGTGATAATGAAAACTGTGCTTTTACAAATTGTAATTGTGAGAGATTTTATCTGTAAACCACGCAGATGAGAGTGAGATGGGCAATATCTAAATTTGATAAATTGGGGGGAGGATGTGAAAGTAATGGAAGGAATATTAGACATTAATAATCAAAAGACAGGAGGGGAGTTCTTTGGTAGCTTATCTTATAAGTGGTAATTCAAATGAGAAAAAATATGTACCTCAGTCTTACATTCCATCTCTCACATTGGGCAGGATTATATTTTTATATATAATCTAATAGATCAGGGGTGTCAAACTGACGGCCCACGGGCCAGATGCATCACGCGCAGGCCACACCCACCCTGGCTCTGCAAAGGGGCAAAAACGTTGTGATACGTCATGTGACACGATTGAGTTTGACACCCGTGTAATAGATTATAAACATAAATTACAACATCACTATATGAGAGCAAGAAACCATTCATTGTAACAATCCATGATAATCTTATAGTTTGCCTGGCACACTGTATTTTCTTTATTTTTCAGGGCTTTTATAATTTCTTTCTGTTTAATAAAGCTGTTGTTGTTTTTACCTCTGGTGAGATTGGTTTATCTCAAGGAGGGGAAGAAAGACCACATGACTATGAATGACATGGCCAGGTTGTAGTATGTAAATTATTCTGTGTCTGTTCCCACCCAGCCCCTCCTTTTAATTGTCAGAAAAGAAATACAGGTTGTGAGAGTTTTCTTTCTCACCCACACAGCAGTTAAGAAAAAGCTGTGAACTGTGGCATCTCCCGGAAGACAAGTTGTAACAGCAGTTTTTATTTTTTATGCCTCTGAGTGAGTGTTTTGACTCCTGAGACTCCCTGGACTAGTCCCTGTAGGGTTTTTTGCAAGAAACCTCATCAGCAGGAACTTGAAATCCA